GGAGGCCTCTCTGGCCGCAGCAGCTGCGCGGAGGAGACACAACGCCTCTGCTGCTGCTGCTGCTGCCCCTGCTGCTGCTGCTGCTTGTGCAGCGTAGGTGCCGCTATCTTGGGTGCCCCTGGAACACCTATTTGCGGTGTACGTACACCTCAGGGCCCCTGGGTCTCTTTTAGGTTTTCTCTTTTTGCCCATGTGCTTTGCTGCACTTTTTATGTACAGTGTTTTACGGATTGACTTAGTGGCCCGCTCGCTAGCTCGCTAGCTAGCTGGCTAGCTAGCTGGCTAGCTAGCAGGCTAGCCAAGCAGCTAAGTGGCTAGCTAACAAGCTAGCTGACGGCCGCCTCGCTAGCTAGCTGGCTAGCTTCCAGCGCTCTAGCTAGCTGGCTAGCTAGCTAGCTAGCTAGCTGGTTCCTCAGCTAGCTGACAGCTCTCTGGCTAGCTAGCTGGCGAGCTAGCTAGCTAGCTAGCTCTTCAGCTTGCTGAAAGCCCTCTAGCTAGCTGGCTGGCTGAATGCATGCACAGCTTAGTTGCTAGAAAGAAACACAGAATGCTGCAAGCCGTGGATGTACGAGGAGGCAAGTTGAACTGGCTAGCTAGCTAACTAGCTAGCTAGCCAGCTAGCTAGCTAGCTAGCCATCTGCCCCATGTGCAGGCCTTAGTCGCACGTGCATGCATCGCCTAAAGAAAATGTGCGGATGTCTTTGTATTAACAAACCTCTGTGAGTAATACAAATAAATAAACATATACTTATTTTTTTGAATGAAGATAATGGCGATAATGGACAAAGTCCAGCGGCATGCATTTGCTGCTGCACGGGCGCCCGCATCCGGCAGTCAGCTCTGCGGAGAAGCCGCTGCTGCAGCACGTGCTGCTGCTGCAGCACGTGCTGCTGCTGCAGCACGTGCTGCTGCTGCTGCCGCTGCAGCTGCTGCAGCAAGTCTAAATTTGCAGAAGTGTGTGTGGATTTCAGTCACAGGCAGCCGCGGAATGTTTATAAAGTAAATGTGCATGAATTCCAACAAATGGCATTTAATGGAGTTTATTTTTATTTCTCTTTTGCCATTGAAAGCAACAAAAGGCGAAAACGGGCGCGCGCAGTCGCTCAAGTCTGCGATGTACGTGCAGCAGCAGCTGGCACAAATTGTTTTCGTTGCATGGGAGTTTTCAACCAGCCTTCCAGCATTTGCTGAGGCGATAAAGTAACATTTGAGAGTAACACCTAAAAAGGGAGAGACTTCCGCTACAGGCTCGAAAGTGCATAGGCCACCAAGCATCCAGGGGCGTCTCACTTCTGCAGCCTGTTGCTGCTACTTGCTGCTGCTGTTTGTCATTGCTGCTTGCTTTCGCTGCTCGTTTTTGCTCCGTGATGTAGGTGCGTCCTGCTGCTGCTGCTGCTCGGTGCTGCTTCTTGCTTCTGCTTCGTGCTGCGTGCTGCTGCTATTTTTCGCTGCTGCCTGCTATTGTTTCCTGCTGCTGCTGCCTGGTTCTGGTGCTACTGCTGTTTGCTATTGCTGCTTGCTATTGCTGCTTGATGCTCCTTGTTCTTGTTATTTTCGATAGAGGTGGTGGAGTGCAGGCCGAGCGTTTTCATTGCAGAAGTGGCTGTGTGCAGGATGGCGGAAACTGCTGCTGGATGAGGCCTTTGGGCATATATATAAATTCCCAGCAAGCAACGAGCAGCTAGGGAGATAAAAAGCACATCGTGTGTAACGCAGGCTAAATGTTAGTGGGTCGTAGGACAAGCCCACTCTCGCATTTCACATTACCTGGTTGCCCCGAAGTCGGCAGCTCAGCAAGGGCACTGGATGCCTTGTTCGCATGCCAGTGTTATGCTGCACAGACACAGAAACCCAGCAAGAAAAGAGCACAAGAGCACAAAGGGAAGGAAATGAGAGAGTGTAATACACGTCGAGCACATCAGGCACAACAGGCGCGAATCTGGGTACATAGCAACTAGATCTTTACACCGGAACACCCAGCAAGCAAGCAACACGCAAGCAAGGACATAAAGCACGGAGTTGACAGGGTGTAGTAGAGGACGAGCGCATCGGGGATGGTACATGCGGAGCTGGTCAGCTGAGCAACCTTGCCGTTATTTGCATACACTCAGCAAGCAAGGCCACATATAGAGGTGGTGGAGTGCAAGAGGAGCATGTTCATTGCAGAAGTTGCTGTGTGCAGGACGGCGTAAACCTGTTGCTGGACGAGGCCTCTTGGGCTGTCATCTCATAAATTCCCAGCAAGCAAAGGGCAGCTATTAGGGAGAAAAACCACATCGTGCAACGCAGGCTAAATCTTAGTGGATCGTAGGACAAGCCTACTCTCACACTTACAATAGCGGGTTGCGCACTGTCACCCGCTGCAGCAGCGCCTCTTCAACGCCTGCGGCTTCCAGGAACAGCAGCTCGCAAGCTTGCTGCAGCAGCAAACACACATTTTCAGCACTTGAACAAATTGGATATATATACTTAATCACCTATACGCGTTATATATATATATATATATATATATATATATATATATATATATATATATATCTTTTTATTTATTCATTCGCAGACTTGTTGCAGCGGAAGATGCCACTGG